AACCACACTTTACTATTTGGCTGTTTATATGAAAACAATGGAGCAGCACAGGAATCCAAACCCACTGAAAGGTGATCATTATTTTCCCATGTAGTGATTAGTGTATTGCACTGTTTTATGTTTCAGCCATTTTCCCCCACCAGTCATTGAACCAGGCTCCGACATCACATTCAGTATCAGACAAATGTCAGCGGCTCCATAACCTGCCAGCATTCTCCTGCTCCGGGATCATTCTATAATCAAGTCTCTTGAGAATGACCTTTTGAAATTCCACATTGTTGCTTTGGCACTACAATAAAATCATTAATTGTGGGTGTCCAGTCTTCTGCTCTTTAGAAATGGCAAATAAACTGAGTCATGGCTGCTGAGTTTCTCCTTCTGTGCTACTCAGAGAAGTTCACTGCAATATTCTTCAAGATGAAAGTAAGGGGCTGACAGGAGTGACTTTTGTAGACAATTGATTTTACAAATACTGGCCTGTCCTTAGAGAAGACACTGACTTTAGTGCACAACTGTAACAGCTTAAAAGGCCTGCAGATCCAACACAGCCTGACTTTCTGATGGTCTTTCTACAGTATTTTTACTTTATGTGTTAAGTCATAACACTGACAAAGGCCATACTTTCACTTTTTAGTAGAGCTTAACAACTATATATTATGAAAAAATATATCTTCTAGCCCAGAGTCTGTGCCAACAGAACCGTAAAAAGCTCTAATAATACCTGTCAACAGGACCGCTCCATATTTTAATAATAATAATGAGCTGGTTCTTACCAAAGACCCGCTCATCGTTGATGTTTTTAATGCAGAACCACAGGCCTGCTGGGAATGTGCAGACCAGGATGTGAAGGTCAAAGAAGAAGGACACCCAGGTGGTGGGCTGGTGTTCAGACACAGATGCTATGATGGGGATGTGGATCTTAGCATAGCTGTGAATAAAGAGAGAGAGCAGAATAAACAGAGGTGGGAAGCACTGATAAGGACAGGGGGGAAATAGGAGATGAGAGTTTTATTATCACTCCCGTCAGTCAAGATAATTCCTTTTGTTTTCTTTCATCTGCACATGAATCATTCGGTTACAGCGCCTTGTTTTGTTGATCAACACTATAACTCTTGTATTCCTCTGATTCAGTGACATCACTGAAACATATTAAAACTACAGTATACTGAAATCATCAATGTGTTGCAGACAAGGGGGTGCAAATAAATAAAATAAAATAAAATAAAGGACTCACCCAGTGTCCCACAGGGAGTAGAAGCGTCCACTCCATGGTGCGATGTAGCCTGAGGATGAAAAGTATGAATGGCTATTTTAATCTCAGACCAAGACAGGCACATGACTAATTGACCAGGTGGTTTTAGCAACATAATCAGTTACACTACACCAAGTACTAAGAAGACAAGTCAGTACTAATTAAAGCTTAAAGTTTGTATCTGTACCTACTGTAAGACTGCACTGTAGCTGAAACTAACATTACAGTCGACAAGTGAACTTTGTTTGTTTACTTCCTGTTTGACTTCATGAGACGTAGGAGAAACAAACATGTTTTAATGCAAAACTAAAAAACACAAACTAATCTCTTCGGATCCTTCTGTATGTTTTTAACTGTAGTGTTCTTTTAAAGTCAGATCAAACCGCTTTACAAAACCCACTGAACACAGCCTTAAATTTTGCAAAATGTCAGAAAAAAGGTTTGGACATTTTCTGGTATTTGACAAACATAAAGAAAATAACTGTGAAGGAAGTAGGACATTCTTTTCAATAAATCTGCTGTCAGCTTACTAGAAGTTTTTCTGTCACATATTTCACCACAGATTTTCAGCCATAGTATATATTTGACAGGAAATGATGGGAAGCCATTACAGCAGAGATTTGTGAATCTACCAACAGACATTTCCAATTGTGTCTGAATCTTGGAACACTGCCGTGCACAACAAAAACATTTTGACAAAACAATAGAAACCAACCAGTGTATGTCAGGTAGATGACTGAGAGGAAAACCACCCCAGCAGCCACAGACACTCCAAGGAAGAAAAGAGTCTGGAACTCCTGCCGTGTCAGTCTGTCCTTCAGGTACTGCAGGAAGGCATAGACCTGAAGCAGCACGAAGACACCTGCGGAGATGAAGCACAGACACAGGTGCAGGTGGGCATGAGACAAACAGGCTTTGGAGGAAGGAAATCTAAAAAAGGAGACCAGAGGTGTTTGGAGTGACTCATTGGATGTTCTGATAAATAAGAGGGTTGACAACAATAGTAATGGACTCTGGAGAATTATGTACAGTTAACTGCTGTAAAATACATTGAAAGAGGAACCTTACAAAATCATTCAGCTGAAAAGAAGAACTCAAAAACTAAAAAAAAAACCTATAAAGATTAGACAATGTAGCCACTTCTCCATTCAAATTAGAACATCAGTGAACTTTCTTACTAAGACATTTGGACTCTCAGTCACCAGTTGAAGGCCAGGTCAGTTTATTCAACTAAATTGTACTTAACGTTTCAATGGGATGATAGTTTTCAGAAATGACAAATAGAGGGCCAGAATTTGGACAGCACCCTTGAGGGCCAGACACAAATAAAATAAAATAAAAATAAATGTTTTTGTCTAATGGAATGTACATACAGTCATAAATGGTGGGGATTACTAAAAGTTATTTTAGTCTCAGTTGTTGTTTTATTCTATTCTATTTGATCCTTACAATTTTACAGTCATGGGCTGGAGTGGATGGTTCTGTGGGCCGTGATCACTGTCCTACATTCTTCAAGAAAATATTTATTGACTTTACAATTTGAGTGAACAGAAGAAACAAGGTCCTCAAAATAATGGATTTCAAAACAAGTTGTCTTCGAAGTAAATATCTGACTGTAGCACGACACTGCTTTGGTGTGAGTTGCATTGTGGAAGGAAACACTACCAACACTTACTCCACTATCTAAAAGAGTATTCTACTGTGAGAGTGTTTTTTTTTTTTCCTTTTTTTTTGTGGTCGATGAAAGGCACATTGAAATTTCTGCTCTCCTCGCTGCAGTACACTGTGTGAGCTTTATCTCTTTTTCGTGCTTCTCTGCCTAAAGCTATAGGTCTGAAAGACGCTGTGTATTTCACACCTGCCATAGGTCAGTGCCTCATACAACTTGCCTTAAAGAATAAAACAACCTCAGCTATCCCTGTAGGCCGGTGTGGCCTCTCCCTGATGAGAAGTTTCTAAGGGTCTGCATAAATCAAGGCTCCACTTTAACACTGAAACTCTGGCTGCTCTGTGAGATACATCACATCCTTAAGTTATGATTTAAACTCCACAGCAGGTTTGTAGTGGTTGCAAGACACGTTGCTAATAAGAATTCATTAGACCTAATCTTTTACACTGACATTTTGCAGTGACTGTAAAAGTCAATTTTTCCCAAACAAACCTGGGCTGTCATCTTACTGACCTGCTGCAGCCATGTGTTCGCTGGTTCTGATTGGCTGGAAGCCCACAAAGGGGACCTGCATGGAGAGGACCAGGCCGACAATGTAGAAGGTGCTGTAAGCTGCAGGAAGAAGTCAGACACAAATCAGACCAGGCATAGGTAAGTATTAAATAATAATAAAAAGACAATTCATGTTTTTCTATAAACTTTTAGATCTAAGCTGAAATGCAATGTGAGCTGAAAAACAGTGAACAGGTGATAGAGAAACATTCAGCACTGGCCTCTATGACCCACTATATTTATTATGTATTCTCTTCACAACAGGGTTGCAGTATTAACAAAAGAATAGCAACACAATCCAAAAACAAAATCATCTTTTCCATTTCATTTGTTTAAATTTAACTCCAAAGTTACATTTTAATGCTGCCAATGAGCACCAACAGCTCCCCCACAGGTAACAGACCATTATCATTATTATTAGTAGTAGTAGTATTAGTAATTATAATAATAGTAACATTAAACCATCCCTCAGACATGCAAATTGCAATGACAAACTCCCACATGTATTGTCACACATTGACAGAAATGTGCAACAAGCAAAACCAACCAGTGCCTGCAGCCTCCGAAACAGACAGTGAGTGATGTCTGTCCTTAGCAAGGCTTTGAACTCAACACCTTGTGCTTATCAGACTGAAGTGGCTGCCAAGCACAAGACAAACACAAGCTGCAGAAAAAGCTTTTTCAGGTTGACGTTTTGGAGAAGTGTAATTACCCATGAACTGAATCTTTCAGAGTGGTAGCAGCGGAAGTTAGAGTCGAGAATATATTGTTTGGTTTGGACAAAAGGTCTTGAGAGACTTAAAATAGGCAAAGTCCATAGAGAATGAGGTCACCCTACTTTAAGTTAGGAAAGAAAACAAGCAAGATTAATTTTATCAAGTGGAAACCTTCATTTTGAGTCGTCACAGAAAGAACACAACTAGGATTTCAGGATTATCATTATGTCCAACAGTTTCTGCTGTGTCATTCTCACCTTTTGTCAGGTGGCAGACAACAAAAAGTATTGTTGGCCTTTGTCAATAATTTCACTACAGAAGACTCATTATTGAAGTCTGGAGAGTGGATTAAGAGATGTGTAGATTTGTCACATACAGCATTTGGTTTTAACATCAATAGATACATTGGTCAACTGGAAGAAAATCAACATAAGAGCTGTGACCAGAATCAGTGAGCAGTTACAGCCAATCACGGTGCAGAAAGAATTTGTTTGAATTTTGAGTTTGAGTTTGTTGTATCTATATTTTCTGTTTATTTCTCTGTTTTCTGTGCATCAAACTGCCCTTCGGGGGTAGTAAAAATAACCAAACTCAAACCTTGAAGCAATAAAGACCGGGCTGAAACTGAAAACGCTGCAGAAAGCTAGAACGTAGACAATTGATATTATTTCATCAAAAATATATTCCCATGATCAAGTTATGATAGATGATTAAAAAGGTGTAGAAATGAAACCAAAAATATATATAAAAGTAGGTTACTATTATTTGCACTGATCTCAGTTTTACAGACAGTTTGCGTCAGAGAACGCGGTGAGATCTGACAGCTCTGTACTAACTGGTTTGCTGCAGGCAGAGTGGTCTATAGAGGGAGCAACAGGAGGGGGAGAGAAAGAGGGTTTCACCACACCAAATGCAGGACGGTGGAAAAGTCAGCATGAGGCTGTTTTATAAACACATTTTGACAATAATCCTATTTAAACAAGTAGAACACTTAAAAGTCACTTTTCTGACCTTGTCAACAACATTAGTTTTGGTGAACCCAGATTGTGCTGCGTCCTCAACTAAACTTATCTTACTTATTTGATCATGGCCAAAAAAAAACCCAACATTCTCTCTGTAGGGATACAAGCAGGCACAGTAGCCCCGACCTACAGATCTGTGTTTATAAAACCAAAAAAAGAATACTGCAGTATTAAAAGCGTAGCGAGCATTAGGTCAAGACACGAATCACAATCAGTGACACCAGTTCCAAGTGTGAATCAAAGAAAGCTCTTTGGTTGCTGAGAAAGCTTTCATCTTCACCCCCTCCTGTTTGTTTGCTGCCTGTATTTGCACTCTGTCGTCTGTCTCTACTTTAATCACGTCTCCCTTCTGCTCCTCTCTCTCCGGGATTCGCACAAACCTCACAGCTGTCTCTTTACAGCCTCAACGTGAGCTGACGGATGGATGTTATTAATCATCAGTTGTGCTGTTTATGTGGTGAAGAAATGACATGGAGCAACGAGCTCCTCAGTGTTGTGTCACTAAATCAACATGGTATGGTATAGACCATGACGGTAAAAAAAACACAGGTGCTGCGGTGTATGACTGAAGGCACGAATGTCCTTGAATTTGAATAAACAAATAATGGGAGACTCTAATGAATACTTCATTTTCACGATTGTTCAGGCTCTTGTAGTTGGTTTGTGTTGAGAATTGACACACTGTATTTATGTCGTGAAAATATGTTCACTCAGGACTAGTCTTTGTTTCTTTGCTTCACTGTGTATGACAACAAAAAACCAAAGACTACTGTGTGTTCCTTCATTTGCAGCATGCACTCTATGTATATGTATACTGTAATAGTCAGTGGCCGTTGCTGGTCTGTGAATCAATGAGACCCTCAAAGTCCAGTTATTTAAATATAAATTCTGCTCTCAGTTCAATTCTCACTGCTACAGAAAAGATTTTTTATCTATTGGCGGATGATTAAATACTGTCAGACTCAGTATTTTAATATTCTGCATGATCACAATCCCTCAGTTGCATATTTATCAGATCTTTTCACATTAGAGTACAGACACTTTTTCTTATACATTACAAGTATAATCGGAGAATCTGGAGTAAATTCTGGAGTTGAGTTTATAGTATGGGTAGTGTTATGGCAATATTTATGCGCATACACTAAGCCGAACAGGATCTAGGTTTATATTAACAATACAAGCTCAAAACCAGGGGCCTCAAACGCAAATCGGCTGGGGACCACTGCTGCAACTGTCATCTCACTGGAGGGCCAACAAATAAAAGCAGGGGTCAAATTACATTATTACTGAATTCTGGTTGAGGACCGTATGTGTGTGGTTCATGGACCTAAAGTGGCCCATGGGCCAGGAGTTTAAGACCTTTGCTTTAAACCAATATAATCTGATGGAGTTCAGCAATAAGCAGTGGCAGTACCAATACTTTTTACAAGTACAATAGAAATTAACACATAAAAGAAACATCACCAAATTGGACATGATCAATATCTGGCGAACCCAGATACATTTTAGTAGATGTCACTTGTGAAGTCATGTGCACCAGCTCAGATATTTTTATATGCTGGCTTTTACTTGAGCTTGTGTGGTGTTTTTAATCATATTTTTCATAATAATTAGCTGAAAAAATTTTTAATCAGTATTTTTTTAATCAGTTACTAGAAATTACAGGCCAAATAAAGATGTTCTTGGTGAGTAGGAAAACTACAGAAAAAGCACTGCAGCCCTAATGTGAAATGAAAATGACAAAATACCTAATGATTTCACTGCAATCCAACTGGATCAATACAAGACAAATAGAAACCACAGCTGAAGTCAATCAGAAACGATGGCTGTTTGCCATAAGAATTGAATGTGAAATCTTCACACTGTTATTCAAACAAACTTTTCTTCAAGGTTTATCTTGCTTCAGCTTACCTATGTAGACTCTCCGACTGAAGCGTTGCATGAGCAACAGGACAAAGACATGGAGAGGGATAAGGTTGATAATAAACACGTAGCCACCCCAGGCTGAAACCTGAAAAAAAAAGCAATATATTTATTTTATAAATTGTAGAGTAATGGTAGTAATGGTAGAAAAATGTCCACTTTTACAGTAACAGTGTAATGTGTGTGTAAATTAAGGTGTACACATGCACACATACATAGACACAGACAAACGCTCAACTACACTCAAGAAGTTATTTAGTCCATGATTAATTCACTGTCTCTTAACATAATGGGACTTTCATCATGTTGAAAAATCTACAGGAGATAAATCACAACTCCAACACAGCTTAAAGTCTCTGTTACTGAACCTTTCTCTTAATAGACCAAAACTGCAGCAAAATGCACCCAACTAAGAGCAGTTTCACACTGGTAGAAGAACATTACATTTATTTCAAATGATCTCACCATATAGAAATAGGACAGGCAGCATCCAATAGTCCAGAAGACTGAACCTGTCTTCACCGACTTCACCTGAGGTGGACAAAGGACGTATTAACAAGTGAATGAAAAAAAAAAACACTGAAAGTCTATATCCAGGACAAAAAAAACCACATTTTCTCTAATGAAAGTCTATATCCAGGACAAAAAAAAAAAAACACATTTTCTCTACACTATAAATTAAGCTCTTTGAATTATTTATTTCTAATTTCTCAGTGTAATCAGTTAGGTCACCGTGAGAAATAAACTTAAATAAACTTGGTTCTACAAACTTTGATTAAAGTCTAAAAGCCTTCCTTCACATGGAGCATGAAGACATTTGATGGAGATATTCAAATCAACAGACAAAGTAAACTTTGAAAACAAAGTTTGTCTCAATAATATCTAGACTTTTTATGCAGCTATCAAATGCATTAAATTACCTTTTGTTATCTAATAAACAGTATCTGATCAATAGAGATTTTTGTTATTTCCTGATTAAACAATCAGATTTTAAAAAACTTTCCTAAAACTGTTTAACAATAGTAAATGTTACTGATGTTCAAACAGGAACATCAATACAGCATCAGGATCAGTAATAAAAAATGTTTTCACATAGATAAACGTTAAATGATGAAGTATTTTGAAACACCGACAGCTGGATCTTGTAAATGTATCAATTCTGCTTATTCACATTCATTCTGTTTGGGCCAAACTATCCATGTGAAAGCAACATAAATTTACTATCTTGATTATTGCTCTGTGGCACAATGCGTCATTGTTCCAATGTTGACAGGCCCACGTTTAAAGCCAAAACTGGAATATTGGAAAAACGTTAGATTTTTTTAATTTACCTCCACAGTATACCATTATTTATTTAATAAACTCCTGACAAAATGCTGACTTTATTATATCAATAATTTTGTCTTTTGTTTTTAACTAAACAGAAAGATCATTGGTTGATGTGGTTGGAGAAAATATTTTGGCATTTTAATTGATTTTTCACCAGATTTAATCTCTGAGCTGTAAAATAGCTAGAAAGAAAGTCAGTGTTTAATCGGCTCAACAGGAGCCGTGCCAATGAGGCGATTGGCATAGTTGTAGCCTCAGGACTAACGGTCAGTGCAAAATTGGACGGGTGTTTTTAGGTGAAACTGTACACATTTTCATTGCAAACAAGGCTTTTTTTTTCTTTGCAGAAAGAGCGTTAAGCTCCATTAAGAGTCGGGGAGCTGTAATGCCCATTTGGGACTTTCTTTTGATTTCTGTGTTAAGTATAAAATAATCAGTTTCAATCAGTCTTTTACCTCAAACACTAGTCCAGCAGTTGTAGGTTTAATTTCTGAACAAAGTAAGAGAAATTTAGAGCAGCCTTCACAAACACTGCACCTACTGAAGCTCAGTTATCAATTATTCTTCTCCCAGCATACGTCAGGCTGTTCTTGGTTTTGTCTGGACATGACTTGATTATAACAGAGAACAGACAGCAATCAGAGCTGCTATGGCAAGCCAGGGAATAGAGACATATTGTGAGAGAAGGACTGATAAAGCACAGTGTGTGTAAGTGTACCCAGAGGTAGTAGGTGAACTGCAGGGCAAAGATGGCGATGCCTTCATTGTCAAAGGATCCTGCCACGGAGCGGGAGATATAACCAGGGACGATAGCAATAAAGCAGGCTGCCAGCAGCCCCGCCCCCTGGTTCCATAGCTCCCTTGTCAGCAGAAAGGTGGAGATAGAGGTCAGGCCACTGAAGACCGGTGCCAGGAACACACACACATCCCGAATGTGGACGGTAATGTGCAGTAGGTTGAGGACATAGTGAATAAGACCTGCTGTGACCATCAGGCCTGGGTACACCTAGAGGGAGGAGAACAACACAGAGTGAGTTCATTATTCAAGCTCTCGTCACATTATCTCATACAGTAGTTTTCAAGGTCTTGCATCAGTGTGTAAGAATGACAGTGAAAAACAAGTCTTTGTCTCCATCCTTTGTAAAAAGAATGTGATAGAAATTAATGGTGACACCTGATAGGAGAGAACTAATAGAAACTGATAATGCTGCTTCATCTGTCTTCATGTAAGTAGTGAAACATATTAACAATATTAAAGTAGATTTAAGTTTTTTTTGCTTAGAACCCAGGGTATCAGAACAAGTACTGAGACCCTTCTACTGCTATAAACAGTCAATGACGGTAAAATGTAGTAGTTAGAAATGTCTTTCTACTATTATTTTACAGACAGGGCAGGGGATTTCACTGTCAGCCACCTTTTTTTTAAAGTTAAACTTGTTTTTTTTACCTTGTCAAATATAATAATATCTGAAATAATATTTAAAATGCATAAGGGTTTGTATCTTATCTTCTAACCCTAGCTGTGAGCTCTGGCTTATTTTCACATTTTCTTTCTTACTCTTCTTAATATTTTTCTGTTCAATTCCTGAAAACTTCTGTTTACCCTTTTTTTTTAACTCTTCCAACTTGACTTTATATTTGATACTTTAGGTTTTGATTTAAAATTTTTCTTTGCAATTTCTAGTCAACTGTAAGGGTATTTTGTGCTTTACATTTGTAAACAATTTCAGAAAATTCTCACTACTTCCAATTTCTGCTGAATTTTAGACAGCTCAAGGCAAGCTCTGCTATTTTGCTGTTCTCCATCCAACTTTTAGCTCCTTCTCATCCAGTTACATAAGAATTTTTTTGGGTTTACTCGAGTTAAAACTAATGAAAAGCTGAAATGTTCAGAAAGCTGGACATCTTTGCACTCGTTACACACGATTTAACCAGAGCGATGTTATATACACACTAAGTACCAGAGGAGCAGTTTGCCATTGGGTTGTTGTCATGCTCTCAGTTCTGCTTTCCATGTAAAAAAATTGTATTCCTCTGAATTAGAACAAACAAAAGGCTGTGTTCTTTTTTTAACAACAGCTATGTGGTCTGGCACATTGTTAAACTACAAAAGTATTACACAGTGGTGATGAGAAATTGATAATCATTAATTTAAACTTCAGACAACAGACAAATGAGTAAAGAGAAGATAAGAGGGGTTTGAAATGTAATATCTGACTGAACATATACACCAATTAACAATAATAACAGTAAAACTTTACAGTTTGGTCAATAGTTTTTTAATCAAGCTTTATCCAAGCCCAACGGTGACCAATAAAGTTGGTAGAAAGAAAGACTCACCGTTCCTCCTACTATCCTGCCCAGAGGGTACCAGGCTCTCTCATCAAACCAGTTGAGAAACTCGTAGAAGCCATTGGTGGTGAGGTAGTGAGTTGACCTGTAGTTGAACCTGTATGTGAGACACAGAACCAGACATGGCTGTTAGAACAGAAGCAGTAGAACCGAGTTATAGGAAATAAATATTAGCATCCTATTTAAATTAACAAGCATGTCACTCACAACCACCATCCACTGGAAGTCCAGTCTACTAACAGAACCACAGACGTGTTTTACTGCCAACTTTTCTCTCCAGTGGTTAAATTTGCTCTTTCTCCTGATGCTGCTTTAGCCTGTGTACTCCATCGTCCCTGGCCTTTTGCTTGACTTCTACTTCGACTTGTTTACAGTCACTTAAACTTCAACAACAACAATCCCACTACAGTTTTTTTCCCTTCCTGATAATTGAACGAGTCAGTAAAAAAGAGTGCTGTTGTAAAAGTCCTCCGACTGGCTCCTGAGGCTCCGATGCAGACTGTAAGTCTGCTCATTCTAAGCCAAAAGTTTTTTCAGTAACCTTTTTATTTATTATTAAGTTATTTCAGTCGTAGTGTTTTTCTTGTCCACGTTTGTGCAGACATAATACAAGATTAGAGATGGTGGTTTTGTCCCAACCTAACCTTCTACCAATTTTGTTATATATAAAAAATGTTGTGGCAAAGAGTTGTATAATGAAACTTTGTTTAAGCTGTTCTGAAAATAAAAAATAATAACATAATATGACTTGGTAAAGGTTCCTGTACTCTACAAGACAGGACTAAATGAATGTGTTAGAGTCAGATGGCTGCTCCTGTTAATGACTATAGCAAACTACCATCCATTTTCATTGGTAGCCTAAGAAAAGTGCCACATTAGTTGTTTGTGGAGTAAACAGGGAGCAGGAATTAAAGGAAAAGTAATAGACCAGGACCAAGTCTCATTAGACAAAATCAGAAGTGCCTGATCAAATCATCTCTATTGTTTGAAAACACCGACACGGGTACCATCGAACTGAGCCTGTGAGCATGTGGTGTTCCGCTTCAGTTAGAAACATTCCTCTTACTGTGAGATGCACTAATAAAATAAATAAAAGATGTACGACACTGCTTTGGCTGGATGAACTCTCATTATTCACTCTCACTAACAGCTTTAGTGGGCAGAGGGGGTTACATTCACAAGGCCATTTGTTCAAATCTACAAAGACGATCCCATGCGTGGCCTCGTGTTTTCTTCTTCACAGTTTCTCCTATAAATATGCTGCTGACCAGACTGACTTTGCGCAAATTGAATAAACTTTGAAGAAAGCACACACACAATGTCAAGCCCTGATCAGGAAGCAAATTTCTGGGTTAAAATGCTAATATGTTTCCTGAGAAACAAAGCTATGGAGAAAAATAGAAAAAGGGAACACCAACATACTCTTTCACGCAATTTACATAAGATCACAAATGTCAGACCGTTTCATTACTGTGAGTTCTATCTGTTTAAGGCACTTGACCTGAGATCACCGTTTGATAAGAAATGCAAGCAAATTTCAAACAGTTGCTATAGTAACAGCAAAGGTTCATGCAGTAGCATATTTAAATGAGCATCATTTTTCGCTCAGTAAACAGTGTCTCCACTACTGTTTACACAAAGGCCCACTGAGCTGGTCCTCTCAGTGCTTCCCTAAGAACGCACCTGATTCCAGTCAAATGTGGGGACATTTTGTGAGTCTCAATGGAGGGAGAGAGTACTGACTGTTGAAGATTTAGTTTAGAGCGAGGATTAGAATTTGCGTCAGATTAGGATTAGGGTAAGGATTAAGATAGAACATTTTTATAATGGAGTACAGTACGTCACTTAAGAGCTCACAAAACACTGTGTGTGTGCGTGCATGTTTCGCCTGTGCATGCATATGTAAAGGTTTCACACAGTTTAAGATAAACATAAAAAATGTTGATTTTTAATTTTCTTTCCTCACTGATAGCTGGTAGTCATAAACTGACATATAACAAACTCAGTCTTTGATATATGTTTTACAAATCTTTGTCCCTGACAGAGTGAAAAAAAGTTCAATCCATCTTCCACTTAAGTGTGGAAAAGTTAAAGTAAATTGTAAGTTCCCTTAAATTCTTTTTAAGGGATCACAATAATCCATATACTGTAAATCAGCAGTCAAAGTTTTTATGGTGGATGCCCTTCCGACCTGTTAAGTATATTTTAACTTAAAACTTTGAAGATCTCAAGGCTGGGTTTGGGGATTGGCAAATTGGCAAGAATACGTATAAAAATACATATTTGCATATTTGCAGTCAATACAACAAATACAGGTTTTAACCAGTTAACCAGACTAACCAGGGTTAGTGATGAGTCTACTCTGCCAAAGACCTATGAACATATTCATTCCATGGTGTGACCTGTAACTACTGTGAATACTGGTCCAGGCAAGGACAACTTTACTACTGATGATAAAATGTAACAGATGATTAAAATTTATATTAACCGGGCTGCAGCTAATGGATATTTTAATCGGTCTATAAAAAGTTAATAAACTAGGCAATCCCATCCTATGCATGTTCATTCAAAGGCCAGGCAGAAACAATGCCTTAGTACAACAGCTTATTGTGTCATAATTTAAAAAAGGCCATCTTAAATTGTGTGCTATAATCTCTAACCTCCCTCCCGTGACTGTGGGAAGTAACATGAGGTGAAAATGTTATCAATAACCGGTACCGCAGTACAAGTCTGGACTTAAAATGCAAGACTTTTTCAAGTGTTCAGCTTTCTGCCTCTAAATTGTTCTGCCAACTGATCACGCAGGTGTGAATTGTTAGACTGGCTAAGACAATCCTCTGCTTAGTTCTTCACGTGTGAATGGAAAACCAAGGAAGGTTTCCAGACACAATTTTGCAGATCTTTCATACTGGAAAACTGCTTGGCTCTCAGCAGATTATCTATACTAATGTATAACCCATAAACCCTTTACCAGAAAGCTATACAGTACACAACTGAAAAAGGTGAATCAAACTTTCCTGCCCATGCTGGTAAAAAAAACTTTTCAGAGCTGTCTGTGTTTCCATTAAGGCTCACAGCATGGGGGTCACCATCAAACAAAGAGAAAAAAGTGGCTACAGTGTTCAAAGTCAAGCCATTATGACCTATAAGAGATGGATAGAAAAAGGGCAGCTTCCTAGTGAGGCAGGCAGAGGTCAGGCTGAGAGTGTTTTTTTTTTCTTCTATCAAGCAAGTGTCAGAGCCTCGAGGTCAGACTGTATTGATGAAGAGTATAACCAGCCTTGTCTTTTTGACAGGATGCAACATAGAAAATCCTCTTCATCCCATGCAATTCCTGCACTTCTGTATCATCAACTCCAAAACTCACCTTGACTCCAGTCACAGACAGGTTTCAGGTCATGTCAACTACTGACGGATTCCTTCATTTCTTTGTTAATTTAATCTTAACGATATCTGTCAAATGTTAATCAGTGTTTTATTATTATTATTAGTAGTAGTAATTATTATTACTATTATTATTAAAATATAAATAAAATGAACCCAAAAGAACATGTTTAAAAAGGTTAAGCTATCAAACCGTTTCATAGACTGATTATTAGTTCTACTGAAGAGAGACTGTGTTGCCCTTGTCATAATGTCAAAGTAACAATATAATTAACCTAATAACAGATATATAATATAGTTTTCAGGTTTTTCATTTGACATAAAAACAAGATAAACGCTTAACCTTGAGCTCAGAAATTTGCATGGTACTTTTATTTGGTATGAGAATTTAAAGTTCTAATTATTACGGAAATTCATCAGAACAATGGCCATTATATCCAAAACCTTGGCAACTGACCTGGCCTGTAGGTGGTTCACAGTGGGTAGATTAAGAATTGCAGAGTGCACAGTGGAATTCAACTACTCTCACAGTGTAAGCAGCTGTTTTTGTATCTTAAAATCCTGTGGAACACAGAATAACTGGAAACAGAAAAATAGGAACCTTGTGGTGTTTGGTTACTGAACACTCCTATTTCTAGCCTTCTGTCCAATATGTCAATTCAATTTATTTTTAGAGCTTTAACCACATGATGCCATCTCTATAGTGTAACAAAGGCATTTTGTTGTACGCTCTCCTTACTAATGATCTTTTTTTATTGTTAGCTATAATGTTTAGTTGCTTCATACAGTTTAAAATTGTACTGTTATTTTGTGTTCTTGTGGCATAAATAAGTATGCATCCATCCCTCCATTGTAAGGATAGTAACCTCATACCTACTCTAGAAACTAAAAAAAAAGCGCAGAGAGGCAGAGATAAATGTATGACACACAACCATATCATCAGTGGCTGTGCAAATAAAATGTAAGTCATGTGACAACTAGAGGCAAAGGACAGAAGCCATCTATGGTATTCAGAGTGCCAGAGCCGCCACCAGTCACAGGATCTCTCCCCAAAGTTTGGTATTTACGCCACCAAAACAAGAGGACAATAAGAGGTGTACCAATTTAGCCTGAAGTCTGTGGCCAAAACTTCAGATAACTATGGGGAGCGTGGGGTGAAGGACTATTCTGAGCTAGCAAAGGAACTGAGACACTGACGGACTTATTGGAACTTTGGATATACAGCTGGATGGTTTCACATCTCAAGTTCTTATTAATATACAAAGAAGTTGTTATGAGCAATAATTCTAGGTCCATATGAACATGGGTGTACCACTATTGCAATGCATAAATGATAAACCTCCAGTCACTAGGTATCAGCAACACATGCAGTGGTTTGTACAGATAAAAATATACATGTTATTAGGTTCTCAATAGTAGTTCAATTCGCAGGGGTGTGGGTTGGGGGGGCGTGACAGAAAATGATTAAGAACCACTGGCTCCAATCCAATCCTCTTCACTAAAATGGTTTGCTTGTTATTATGCACTGCTGAATGGTCGGCCAGTTAACCAAGTTAACACAATACTGCTGTAGTCCATTACAGTCCTGATGAATATATTATGAGGGGATGCTCTCTTATACAAGCAGACAGTCAACTCATCTAAAAGCCTTAAATGGCATTGCATAGAAAGAGACACTGCATGCCACACACAGTCAGAAACAACAAGTATTAC